ACCTCTGAAGTTTTACAAGGAGAAGTGGCCAGTCCTGCATCAGGGGGAAGAATGACCCCATAGATCAGGGAACCTGACCAATGAGGAGAATGGACTGGGCACTACAGAAGAACACCATAGGAGCCAGTGGTGCATGCTCACCATGAACAAGGCCAGCAGCAAAGGGACATTTCTTAGGAGGAGTGTGGCCAGCCCAGACATCTTGAGTTTTCATCCCTCTCCAGAGAGCTGAGTGGTGGCCACACCTGGACCTGCATGTCCTTTTGTGGGAATTCCTGCTGTAGTCAGGTGGTGAGAAACTAGAGAGTGCCCAGAGGAGGTTCGCACTTGTTCTGTTTTAAAAGACCCCAACCCCATCTTTAGTATTTGAAAGACAGGTAGACGTGGTGCTGAAGACATGGTTTAGCAGCTGTTTTGGCAATGTTAGGCTAATGGTTGGACTCTATGATCTTAAGGTTCCTTCCAACCTAGATGGTTCTATGGTTCTGTGACCCTACGACTTTGTCTTTTTTCTTCCCTCTGTGAATCCCCTCCCTCGCCCTGATTGCCACACTTCTTTTCATGCGGGGGGCTTTCTGGGCTGCCAGTGTACGTTGGTGGCTCATGTTGAACTTCTCATCCACCAACACTCCTTAGTCCTTCTCCGACTTTGTCTTTTTTCTTCCCTCTGTGAATCCCCTCCCTTGCCCTGATTGCCACACTTCTTTTCATGTGGGGGGCTTTCTGGGCTGCCAGTGTACGTTGGTGGCTCATGTTGAGCTTCTTATCCACCAACACTCCTTAGTCCTTCTCCTCAGTGCTCCTCTCCAGCCATTCATCACCTAACATGTATCTGTGCCTGGGATTGCCATATCCCAGGTGCAGGACCTTGCACTTGTCCTCATCAGGTTCACACGGGCCCACGTCCCAGGTCTGTCCAGGTCCCTCTGGATGACATCTCTTCCCTCTAGCATGTGGCCATATCCCAGGTGCAGGACCTTGCACTTGTCCTCATCAGGTTCACACGGGCCCACGTCCCAGGTCTGTCCAGGTCCCTCTGGATGACATCTCTTCCCTCTAGCATGTGGACTGCACCTCACAGCTTGGTATCATTGGTGAACTTGCTGAAGAGTGCCCACAATCCCAAGTCCACGTCACCAACAGAGATGTTGAACAGCACTAGTCCCAGTATGGACCCCTGAGGAACACTCATCACTGGTCTCTGCTTGGACATAGAGCTGTTGACCACACAGTCATTGACTGCAGCCATCCAGACAATTCTTTGTCCACTGAAAGGTCCATCCATCTAATCCGTGTCTGTCCGGTTTAGAGACCAGGCTTTTGTGCAGGACGGTGTCAAATGTCTCGCACAAGCCCAGGCAGATACTGTTGGTTGCTCTCCCCTTGTCCACCAACACTGTAACCTTGTTGTAGAAGGCCACCAAATTTGTCAGGCATGATTGGCCTTTAGTGAATCCATGTTGGCTGCTACCCATCGTCTCCTTATTTTGGTGAGTGTCCTTATTTCAACCTATGAGCATTTTGTTATATTTTGTCTCCTGTGTTCAGCTGAGGATGGGGAGGGATACAGCATCCTGATGGGCACCTGGTGTCTACGAAGGGTCATCACACCACTGGTGGAAACATAATGATGGATGAGGTTCCCACAATGAGAGAAATAGCTGCAGTCCTCAAGGTCAGAAGGAAACAGGCCTGGGATGTGCAGCCCTGGCAGGAGAGGGGTTTGCTGCCCCAGGTGACTCTGCAGCTCTGTGGGATCTATAACAGAGGTGAAGCCAATCTCCAAGAAGGACAAGCTGCTGTTGAGAATGTCCTTGGGGGAGGACAGCCTGTGATCCAACCACACTGTGGACATGATGTTGGGGGATGACCAACTAGATATCAGCTCTTCACAGGAGGACTGTAGGGTCCTGGAGGGGGGATGACCAACTAGATATCAGCTCTTCAGAGGAGGACTGTAGGGTCATGGAGGACAAGCAGCTGAGCATGAGCCAGCAAAGCACCCTCACAGCAAAGGCCAGGAGCCTCCTGGGTTGTGTTAGGAAAGGCCTTGCTGGCAGATGGAGGGAGGTGACCCTTCTCTTCTCCTCAACACTGGTGAGGCCACATCTGGAGCTATGTGTCCAGTTCTGGGCTCCCCAGTGCAAGAGAGCTGTTGGCCTACTAAAGCAAGTCCTGGAGCTATGTGTCCAGTTCTGGGCTCCCCAATGCAAGAGAGCTGTTGACCTACTAAAGCAAGTCAAGCAAAAGGCCACAAAGCTGATTTAAGGGACTACAGCATCTTCCAAAGGAAGGAAGGCTGAAAGATCTGGCACTGTTCAGTCTGGAGAAAAAATTGCTCAGGGGGACCTTATTAAGGTATGTCAATACCGATTGGAATGAATGAAGGCAAGAGGCTCAAATTTACCTCAGGAGTTCCCAGTGAGAACACTCGGAAGGTAGTCAAACAGCAGAGCAGGTTGCCCAGAGAGGCCGTGGACTCTCCATCAATGGAGATATTCCAAACCCTCAGGAGTTCCCAGTGATAAGACAAGGGGTGATGAAGACAGCTAAAAATAAATGAAAGTCCATCTGAAGCCAAAGAAAGAGATTTTAATTCTGAGGGTTGTCAAACACTGGAACAGGCATCTCAGAGGGCTGGTGGCATCTCCAACAGCGGAGTTATTCAAAACCCACCCAGACGAGGTCCTGAGCAACCTGCTTGAGCTGAGCCTGCCTCAGCTGTGGCTTGGACGACGTGATCTCCAGAGGTCTCTTCCAACCTCAACCATTCTGTGAGTATAAAGACTCACAAGACAGAAAGAAATGAAGAGCACATACCCTTGGCCACAAATACCTTGGAATCCTCTGGAGAGGACCTGTGATGAGAAGGGGAAAACTAAAAAGACCAAGGAGTAGCAGAGATGAAGGGTTATGTCCGGAACTGTAACCCCCCGTTTCCCATCCCTCTTGTGATTCTCAGGGCTGGAGTGAATAGAAGAAACGTGAACGATAGGGTAATTTGAACCTGGAAAGAGTGGGGTGGGGGAAATGGTCTTTAGTATTTTTATTGTAGTTTCTCTCTATCAAGTCTATTTTAATTGGAAATGAATCAGTAATTGGTAGGTGATCGCCCTGTATTTGTCTTGACCCATGAGCATTTCCATCTCCTTTCCCCTTGTGTCCCTTTGAGGAGGGGGAGCGCGTGATCAGCTGGGTGGGTGTCTGGCTGCTGGTCAAAGTCAACTCACCACAGGACCACACCAGGTCTGCTGTGCCCAGCATGGGGCTCCCCAGCACAAGAAAGGCCTTGACAGACCGGAGCGAGTCCTGCAGAGGCCAGAAGGATGGTTGGGGCCTGGAGCACATTATGGACAAGGAGAGGCCGAGATAGTTGCGTTCTTGAGAAATCCCTCAGAGCCAAGCACTGGAGCAAGGAGCCAGGCCAGTTGGTGGCATCTCAGCCAATGGAGATTTTCAAGATTAGTTGAGAGAAGGCCACGAGCACCTGATCAAGCTGGAGCTGTGCCAAAATGGGCTCAGCTGAGAGTCCAGCTGTGGCAAGAGCTGTGGGACCTGGCGTGTAATGAGTGTCAGTAGGAAACTGGTTTCCTTTCTGTTAATAACAGCTGTGGAACTGGGCATCACTGAGCCTAGGAGGAGGACAGAGGTGACTGTGCAGCAGAGGTCCCCTGTCAGGGCTGAGGTGGAAATCACCAGTGTGGGGGGCTGCTCTCGGACAATTTTCCTGGGGAAGCTTCCCCAAGGTGTCCAGGAAATATGGCACGGAAGAGGCCCATATATTTTGCACCTTTACTGCCTGCCTTCCTTCACCACCACACCTGAGTGTGCACTGGCACTGCTGCCGGTTCCTACTCCGCACGCTCGCACAGCTGAGCTCTACGCTGGTGTCTTCCTCTCCTGGGCTCCTTCCATCCCAGCCCCTCCCCACCTCTCCCTGCCTCCCCTGCCCTCTCTCCAACAGAGCCCAGCAGAGCCCCCCAGTCTGGGCTGTCCCCGGCACTGCCCACCAGCGCTGCAGAGCTCTGGGCACGTACCCCACAGCCCCAGCCTCTCTGTAGGGCACAGCACCTCCCGGGAGGCAGAAAGAGGTCTTGGCCTCCCCATCAGCCCCCAGGTTGTGCTTGTAGTAACAGCACAAAGACACAGGCCAGTCGCTCTCAGGCTCTCCTGCATTCATATTGTGGATGATCCTCAATCCCGACTGCATATGCCCTCTGCTCTGTCCCCATTGGCCCCACTCTGCAGGACAACACGAGGGTCTGGGCTTCCTCAGGCAGATCCCACATCTCTCCCATCTCTCCTCTGCCTGCTAGGTCTCCACTGACTCCCATGGCACTGCGGAGTCCTTGTTTGTGGATACCTCAGTTCAGTGCTTTACTTTTGAGGGACTTCACCTCTGAGGGTGGTTCACCTTCTGCATCTCGATTCAATCCCAGCTCAGGACACGTGGTGACTCCCCACCCTCTGATGACCCATCCAAATTCTTTTCCAGAAAGATCTGTATATGCCGTCAGGCATGAAGCAGTAAATGTAACAGGGAGCCCATGCACTATCTCCACTGCCACTGGACACCAAAAAGAGAGCCTTTGAATCCAAACCATTTGGAACAACAGAACACAAAGGTACCATGAGCTACATCCCAAACACGGGGAGAACAGAAAGGAAAAAAAGACCCTTTAAAAATCAAATTCTTTAGACATTTCATAGAAGTAAATTTGTAAGAACAGCTCAGCTTTCAGGAACTGTACCTGGGAGATTCCCTTTTATTGAAGAATTGATATTGGACAGGTCAGATATGACACAAGTGTTGTGCAAGAGTCAGACACAACTGGATCAAACCTCAAGAGAAGCAGTACGAACTGGATCAAACCTCAAGAGAAGCAGTACGAAACCAGAAAAAAAATATGCAGAAGTAGGATTAACACAAAGGAAAAAAGTAGACTCCTGATCCAAGATGAATCCTGAGAAATGTGCAGAGAAGGGGAAGCAGGTTATTGTCAGTGAAAGAGGGTCATTTGGGCCACTTTCCACAGGAAATCCTTGAGCTCCTGGTTCCTCATGCTGTAGATGAGGGGGTTCACAGCTGGAGGCACCACTGAATACAAAATTGCCACCAGCAGGTCCAGGGATGGGGAGGAGATGGAGGAGGGCTTCAGGTAGGCAAACATGCCAGTGCTGATAAACAGAGAGACCACGGCCAGGTGAAGGAGGGACGTGGCAAAGGCTCTGTGCCGCCCCTGCTCAGAGGGGATCCTCAGCACAGTCCTGAAGATCTGCACATAGGACAGCATGATGAACAAAAAACAAAGAGAGACCCCAAAAAGACTAATCAAAACAAGTCCAAATTCTCTGAGGTAGGCATCGGAGCAAGAAAGCTTTAAAATTTGGGGGATTTCACAGAAGAACTGGTCGAGAGCATTGCCCTGGAAGAGAGGCACTGAAAATGTACTGGCCGTGTGCAGGAGTGAATTAATAAAAGCACTGCCCCAGGCAGCTGCTGCCATGTGGACACAAGCTCTGCTGCCCAGGAGGGTCCCGTAGTGCAGGGGTTTGCAGATGGCAACGTAGCGGTCATAGGCCATGATGGTGAGAAGCAAATACTCACCTACTATGAAGAAGAGATAGAAAAAGACTTGTCCAGCACACCCTGCATAGGAAATGGCCCTGGTGGTCCAGAGGGAATTGGCCATGGCTTTGGGGACTGTAGTAGAGATGGAGCCCAGGTCAAGAACAGCGAG